GCCGCCGAGCCGAGCCTGCCCGTCGCGAACTCGGGTGCCCCGAGTACTGTGCTGGCTCCCTTCGGGGCTTTTTTTCCCCTTGTTTTTTCATTGCGGTGTGTGCCATCTGCAGGATCCCAGCGCGGTTCTTGACAAGCCGCCTCTCCGCGTGCAGCACCGCGTCCCCTCCGGGGCTGAGGAGATCGGCCGCTTTGTCCCAGTGCTCTTCGTGCCCAGCCTTTACACGCGTAACGCTAGAAGGTGCATATGCATAGTGTTTTCAGGAAAAAGACAGATAAAACGTAGAGCAGTCTATTTCCGAGACAGTTCTCGCGGTCTGAACGTGCCACCTTTGCGCAGCCACTTTTCTTCTTCCATCAGGTTTCGCTCCCTCTCCCGAGCATGTTTACCCTTCTGTGAAAGCTGCGGTCTGCGTTAGTCGCTCTCGCTCTTTGGGGCTATGGTGGTACTAATAAGCCACTCGTAACAACTTAAACTGTAACTTGCATAATCAGTGTTTCAAGCAAATATTCGTTGAAAGAATATGCCTTCCCTATTAATGCTGTGGTTGCGGGAAAGAATCGTTATCTTTTAAGTAGTTAACGCTGCTGATATCCTGTCCTTCAAAATGTTACATTGATAACCGAACGGTCTGATGCCAAGTATCGGAATACAGCAGTGATCCACAGCTGGTAACTTTTTTTAAAATGGTAACGTTTGCCGCATAATTTAAAGGGTAATAGGTTAAGTGCTCTGAAAAAAAGGGTATAGCAGTACAAACAAAAAGCACAGAACTGCCTTACCTTTCTGAACACTATAGACAGGCCTCGCTGGCAGTCGCAGTTGTGCTGCATGGTCTGTCTTTTTTTGGGAGAACAGTTGATCAAAAGACGTCTCTTCTAAACGCGTTCTTATTATCTGTTTAAGAGCCTCTTTGTGAAACAGTTAATGTGTAACTACGGTATTAGTGTTTTATTTGGGCCAGCAATGGGGAGAGAGAATGTCCTGAGTACTGGTGTTTCTCGAGCACGTCTGAACACTGCTGCATGTTTCCCTGGTAAAAGATAATCCTCAGAAAAGGAAACGTGGTCCCTTGGTTAAGATTGCATGTGAAAGTAAAGAGATCTCACTTCGTGTTCTTGTCAGTTCTGTAGTTTGTCTTTAAAATCTTCCCCACACAGGTGTGCGTTAGTGGTCTGTGGAAAACCTTCACAGCCCTTTACGTGAAAGGCAGCATGCAGTCTAAAGCGAAGATTTTTCTGCACATCAGCAGAAAAAGGAGAGCTTGTGATCTGTGTTGCATTAGTTCAGCTTTGCAAAGTACAACTGGCTTTACAAACTTACTGCAAATATCAACTCTTGTAATGACTTCTGAAATTCTGATTATTTCATAATAGCAAGTTATATGCAGGCACGAATGATTATAATCCTTAAAAAATTTCACAAAAGTATTAGTGGGGGAACTTTGAGCAGCCAAGTAGTATCAAAGCTCTATGTGATGCTTTTGAAATTGCTTTCATCTTAAGACTGATAGCCTGCCAATATGATCTGTAATCAGTTCCTGGATCTTTAAGGCTGTGTTAGGTGCCTTCTCTGCACAGTTTCTTGCTTTATTTTGGAGTTGAACATTGTCGCGTTCGTAGCAAATTCTGATTTGCGTCAGTAGTTATAATTTGTTGATCTTGGAAATCCATTCATAATTACATCTTGCTTCCATTTAGCATGAATTGTATTTAAAAAAGGTGATCAGATGAACTGAAGGGGTGGCTTTGAGAGAAAACTGAGAACAGCTGTTTTGGAAGACTGTCACTGAAATTAGTTAACAAAGTATATATTGAGCAAGAGGGGCTGCCAGACAGTTTGACAGACTTCTAAGGCAAAGGGACTTGTTCTGACAAATTTGTGTGTGGACAAGGAAGAGGCTTGGTTCTGCTGCTTTCTTTGGTTCAGCTTAAGGAACAGGAAAATGGTGTATGCTGTGTGTACGTGTATTGGGGCAGGAGAATAGAAAGCAGATGGAAAGGGGGTGGAAGAATGGGGGATAGACATGACTTCTAAACTTGCATTTCCTCATGGCAGAAAAGGATGTAAAGGTGGTTTGGGTATACAGAGATGCACAGCTGCAAGTCGGCAGGAGTGCGAGTCCCCCAGTACTGCTCAGAACTGTCCCACGCTGTAGCACTCGGTTTTCTTTATTGGTGCTGGGGAAGTGTTGGTAAATTTAATTTAGAGCCTTGGAGCACTATAAATTCCATCGTGGTGGGGTTTTGGCAGTTCGTAGGAACTTGCAAAGTGCAGAAACAATGTTATTGTTCCATTAGGCGCATGGGTCTGTAGTAGTGAATGTAACAGGAACACTCTGCTCTGAGTAAGAAGGGACTGTAAAAATAAAGGCATGGGATGTTAGAAAAACAGTCCTTTCTTTCATCCTCATTCCTAAAAATAAGGAAGGAGCTGAAGATTGGTAGCCAGAATTCTTGGAGACTGAAAGAACAATCTGTAAACACTTGAGGGCTTTGGTAGTCACAAGAAGATAAGAGGGAACCCCCTTAACAGCCTTCATCAGAATTCCCCGACTGGGCTCCTTCTTTCTGGCTGCTTCTCCCTAGGGGTCTGCATCTTATCTCACTGGCTTCCTTTCCTCTATTTGCCTCTGACTAACGGGCTTTGTCTTCTGGTTACTGGAAGTCTAATAATTTCTTTTGTCTCTTCCTCCTTCCTCCTTTTAAAAATACTAGATTAAATGGCTGTAAAGTTTTGCAGATTATCTGTGTTGGTGACATGGATTAATTGTATACTTGACTCTAAGTTATTCAGCAGTAATGACATAGTAACTTGACTCGAAACGGTGGTAATTGCATGGCAAATGTTGCGTTCTGGTAAAGAGCCACCTGCAATTTACCCCCTGTAAACATATGACACAAGTAAACTGTCTGTGCCTGTTTTCTCAGTGTCTTCTATACAGTAAGTTGTCTCAAGTGTGTCTTTTGAAACAGTCAGCTATCTCTCTTTTCTCCCCCCTCCCCCTTACTTTTGACTCTAGTTTGAGTCAGGTAATTACAGATCTGGGTTGAAGCCTTCCCAGGGAGTGATCAGAAAAGCCAAGGCTTGTAGACGTGCTCCCATCGTTCACTGCTACCTTGACTTCACCCTTTCATGAGAAGGTTTTGTGGAACTGCTCAGCTATCGGTAACTGGCTGTCGGTGAGCAAGTCCGAGAGCCCCAGGGGCAATGGTGGTTGGCAAACTGAAGGGGAGCTCTGCTTTCCCTTGCACAAATGCCAGTATTCTTTATGGTGACATAAGGAGATTCTCCTTGTCACATGTGGCTTCGGTGTGACAGTTTGGTGATGTTTGTACATTCTCATCTCAGTGTTAACCAGAACAGAGCAAATAGCGGAAGAAAAAGTGAATCAAAGCTTCTTGCCTAAAAGATAATCTGAGAACTAACCCATTTAGACTCGTTATGTCTCTCTTTTATCTGCGCGTCTTGGGGAGCAGTGCTCCAGTCCAATGACTGCATGTTGAGGGAAGCAGAAAATCTGGATTTTAGGTAAAGGTTATTTAATTGCAATGTTTTGCTACTAGAAGAGTGATGGTTAGGGGACTACTTAGCTGTAAGTATTAAAGAACTCTTTCACAGAAGTAGGAATACTGTAGAGAAACCAAACCAACAAAAGCATAGGTGGTGAGACAGGATTCCAGTAAAGAGAATGAGCTAGTATAATCTTCTGGTGTCTCAGAAAGAATAGTTATAAATGCTGTTCTGTCTGTGACATCTGTTTTGTGAAAGACAAAACTTACTTAGCAAAATGTGAGAATGCTGTTACTGACCTCCTGTCACAGTTTGTTATTCCCAGAAAGTCAGACTGCCAAAGACAGTATGACAGTCATAGTTATTTGTTGTCTCACTTTTCCTATTTGGTGAACATAAGTGTTTTTTTAAGCCAAAAGGATTAAGTGCTCCTGAAAAATAGCAGTCTTATTTTTGCATCCACGTAGTAGCAGAAAGTGACGGGTTTTAGTTCTTACTCTGAAATTTTTTAGTGTAATACAACTTTTCCTTCTGCAACTTTGGAACATCTAATGCAGTCAGTCTTATCCTTTTGTTTTAAAATTGAAAGGGAGGGAGAAAAATCATCTTAACGCCTATGATTATGGGAGGCGTGTGTAGCTTAGTAATAGACTCGCAAACACAAATGTCCTAGAACTTGGTTTTGGTCATATGCTGACTGTTCAATATTTTCATTGCAAATGAATCTGTGCAGTAAGCCTCTAGTACTCTGGATCAGCACATAAATGGGCGGTCTGGAAGTGCCAAAGGTCTGATGTATACCAGCTTCAAGCACAGTTACCTGTGCTTGGAGTTAGTGATTACGTCTCATGAAGCACAGGATAGATACCTACACACCTTACGTCTCTTGTGAGACACAGGACATCAAGTGAAATCAAGGATATGTGAAAACTTACTGGCAAAATGTGTGTTGGTTGAAGCTGCCACCAAATTTCTCAAGGAGAGCTGTGTCTTTGTTATAACTGATGACCTATGCTCAAGTACTCAAAGGAGCTCCTTTGAAGCTGTTGATAGAGTTAAATACTGCAGCGTCCCTTGTACAGTGTGAAGTGTTAGTGTCATTCACAGTAATAGGGAAGTCAGGACTCAAATCAGTAGAGAGAACTAGGGTCTCTGCAGGTGGCTTTGTGTATTTTCTGCTTTAAAAACTGCAGTCAGTTTAAAAATCCAAGCATACGCTCTTAAAGCACTTTCAGATGTCAGTCCTTTCACTTAGAACAATTCTTTGTACATAAATATGATTCCAGTATTTACATGGTCAGCTGGTAATGAAGTTCCTACACAACTGCATGAAATAAGCAATTCTTTTGGCTGTCAGCCTGTAAACTATGTTACACTTACCGAGATGGCGAGCGGGCCTTCTGTAAACTCCTTATGAGCATCTGCTGCCAGAAGTGATCTTATGAGGTGGTCTGGCTCTTGTCTTTAGACTTGTCCCTTCGCTGCCCTGTTAGGTGGCTGTATGGGTCATGGTTCTCACAGCTGCTTTGTGCTGGAGATGGGACGCTGTTAACCAGAGCTGCTGGAAGGACTTCCTTTTTTGGTGTGATTGGTGTGTTTTCTTCATTGTTGAGAGCAGTAAGAAATGTAAAGTTATTCACTTATTACAATTAGTTTAAAGCATATCTTACTATTACAGGAATCACTTGATATCTACTTGAATTATATTCAGCTGAATGTAATGGATG